GGACACAGTTCCCCACGAACTTCTCCAGCAGGAGTCCTCCCACAGGCTGCAGGCCTTCAGGAACAGACGGCTCCACTGTGGGTCCTTTCCACGGGGTCACACGTCCGGATGGCAAACCTGCTCCAGCGCAGGCTCCTCTCTCCATGGGTCCAGAGACCCTGCCAGGAGCCCGCTCCAGCACAGGCTGCCCACGGGGTCACAGCCTCCTCCAGGTCCATCCACCCGATCCATCACAGGGTCATCGATGGGCTGCTAGTAGATACCGGCTCCACTGTGGACCTCCACAGCATACAGACAGGTGTGCTCTGGTGATTAGTCCACCCAATCCAGCGGTGGTGGTTTTTGGTGTTTTTGTTTTGTTTTGTTTTGTTTTTTTCCCCAAGGAACCACCAGTCACATGCACTTCTGGAGATGCTGTGAACCATTGGCACCCGCTTTTCATATATACATCACCCTTCCTACATTTTCCCGCTAGATATTTTTTGTTCAGAGGCAGCCTAGGACCTGAATAAGAAGAGAGGTGCTAATTAGGGACACAAGCGTACGCTCTTCTTTCTGCTTTAGCTGTGGCAGTGGATGTCATGGAAGCAAGAAAAAGCAATGAACCCCCACAGTGGGAGCAGTCACAGCAACCTGGCATTTACAGCTCTCAGCTGGGATATAGTTCACATCCAGGATATAAACCGGAGTTGGTATTTGTTGCCGTAATACTGTTATACATGAACTACTCTATCATCTCCCCCATTAATTAAAACCAAAAAGTTTTAAAAGAGGAGATTCACATTTAAGGCAACCACTAGGGTATGGGAATTTCATGTGACTTAGCCACAAAGTCATTTTCCTCATGAGGGTTCCGCACGCACGCTCTGTCACTGTGAAAAACCTCTTGGCTGTGACACTGTGTGCTCATTATGGAGATGTGGGAATATAAGAAGATTTAGAGATATGGAAATACGCGTAGAAAGGAGCAAGTCCCTTCAAACACATTTTTATAGTCTGAAAACAAGTGACTTTCTTCTGCCAAGTTGATGTTTCCAATGGGAACTGGAGCAAAAGATTTTTTTCCTTTTTCTGAAATCCATATCTGACGAGTCTGTATAAGGATTACAAGTTCCCAAATTTTTAGCTTTTCAGTTTTTGGTGGGAATATGTCTGCACTTTCTTTCTTACTCCTTGTTTTCCCATAGACACATGACCCTTGTTAGTAAGACAGTACTACTGTCAGATTTGCACTTGTACAGCAGACTTTATTTGAGATTGACCTGATTATCCCATTGTGCAGGAAAGGAAACTCAGCCGCAGGTCAATTAAGTGACTCACAAATTGTTTTTCTTCCCAGCATCTCATGAAAAGTCTGCAGTACAGTAAGGAGACTGCTTTACTCCTGTTCTTATCTGGGAACCATTTTACATCATGAAAGCTTCCTTGACCTAACTCAAGACAGCTTTAGAGGTATCTGGAGCTTAAGAGAACTTTGAAGATCACTTTAAGTATTCTAAAATGTCAGAAGGTGGTCCCACAAAATCGTAGTCATATGTTCACAGCAGTACACCATGTACTAATCCATTTAGTCCATTTTTATTGTTCTGTTTACAAGAT